CACCACCACCACCACCACCACCGCCAGCACCATGAGCACCGCCACCACCACCGCCAGCACCATGAGCACCGCCACTACCACAGAGACAACCACCTCCACCTCCATTGGTCACTGCTGCTACAGCTCAGTCAGTGAGAAGCACCTGTTGAGTGCCGACGACGCATTGGGCGCACGTCCTGTCTGCAGTGTGTAACGGCGTCAAGCGCCCTATGTCTCTCCGATTTTCCGTCTCTCTTTTCTTTCCTTTCTTTCTCTCTCTCTTTCCTTTTCTTGATGTTTCTCTGTCTCTCTCCTTCTTTCTTTCTCACTACTTTAAGCTCGGCCCAGGGGACGAGGCACAGGATTGAGCTGTTGCCTCAAATCATGGAAAAATCGTCTGCAAGTGCGACAAAACACAAGGATGCCTGCGGCAGAGTCACTTTCGTTCGTCGCACGCTCCCTCAGACGTTGATAATCACCTGGCTGGACATAAAATCTGCCAATTAGCTGAATCAACTTGGGACATCACTGAATGATGCCAATGAATTTATTATCACCACCGAAAAAGAGCTTAGGTTAAGCAGTGATCATCATCCAACACCCCATGTAGACAGCAGCAGTAGCCATTGTGTACTATGTACGTCACTGGTTGGTAGTGATCGTCGGAGTAGATGCCACGCGGATGGTCAGTCTTATCGATTCCTCGAGAGCAGCTGCATCGATGCAGATTTAGCAGATCTAGGCCCGGTACTGTCGGCGGTAGAGAAGGGAGGGGGCATAGAAGCGGAGGTGCACTGAGGTGTCAGTATCTGACAGACTGAACGCAGCCTCTGTACAACCTTGTAATACTTTGCCACTACAGTGCAGCCTGTGCTCCCGGTGGCCTCCACTGCCGCAGGATTACCTGTGTCAGTGCTCACTCTCTGCTCAACTCAGTGGCAAGTGGTTGCAAAATTCAGGCGCTTTTAGTGACACGGAGAGAGAGAGAGAGATCTGAGACAACTGAAAGGTAGACTGAAAGGCAATGTACGAGCGCGGATGTAGCCAGTGAGACGTGAAGATGTGGAGAGTGACGATAATTAATTCGAGTAGAAACAAATCACCGCTACTGCCGCCATCGAAGGCAGCAGCGGACTGAGTACTGAGGAGCACTGCTGCAGACGGCAGCTGCCCAAGCGATTCAAACGAGTTCTCGAGCTATTTTCGAAGCGCCACTTGACAATGGACTAATAGTAACCTAGTTATTGACGAGTCAATTGGACACTTCATTGTTCTATTAATAACCGGGCACTCGG